GGGTTTTGATTTTCTCTCTGTCATAATCTACATTTTTTAATATCAATAATTATGGTGAATAGCATGCAGGACGGGAAGATTCTTTTAGCCCTAATGAAAGATATCATACTATTGTACATATGTTACAATAATATTATTATGAATCTGATCCAGAAGTAGTAGGACTTTATTTTGCTTTCAAATATTAATATACTTGGGGCCCAATGATTAAGCATTATATGAATTAACATATCTCGGCAATCATAAATTACACATACCTTTGCATAAGTGGCTCATGGCAGTAAGTGTACTTGAACTAACTTTGTTTGAACTAATTACCACTGTTCAGTCATTTATTCAGTTATTCTTCCCTAAATGTTAACTGTATACCCACAATGTTGTGCAGGCCTCCACAGGGAATATCAAAGTGAAACTGATGTTAGCTTTATTCTCAGAGCACTTTCAACCCAGTAGGAGTAATAAAAAAGAAGAAAGCAAATATTGCAAGAAAGAGAAAACCACCAGGGGTTTTCAGAAAAGGAAAAAAAAGACTATTTTAGCTGAGGATACAATGTGCAGAGTCACAGCAAAGGCCTTTTATTACAAAGAATGGAATACCTTTCTATATGCTCTAGAATTAGTCTCAATATCAAAATCTGTACCAAGTGTGTTTGCATTTACTGAAAGACACTATGTACATCTAAATTAGGATTCTGTACATTATGATGTGACTTTTGTAAACACCTCCAGAGGGAGCCCTAACAATATCCTGTGTGGTTTCTTAACTAGTCTTCAGGAATGAATCTCCCAAGATTAGTCATTCAGGTATAAATCCTTCCACATTGAGGACTTTTGAGTAGAATAAGAAAGTACTATTCCTCCACAGGTAAGTCTGACAATTCTGAAAATCAAGAACTTATAGGAAATTTGTGTGATTTCTTATTTCCTCTTTTGAACATAAAATGAAATTGGTAGTGGCCATAAGAATTGCCATGGTAAGACAAAACCCTAGGCAGACGGGCCTCTGACTCTCTGATGCAGACAACAGGTGACTAGTGATGTACGGGGCGGTCAGGCAGGCTCTCCAAACACCCTAACCTTAGTTACAGATCCATTATTCATGACACAGCTGAGACTCAAGTAGGCTTACAAGTTGAGATTTAGGCAAAGCTTGGAATTCAAAAACAGTCCTTTCTCTATTAACCTGTTTATCTTCTCTTGAGCCTTAGAATTTGGCACAAGAAAATATATTCTTCTATGTCTTTAATTACTTGATGCAATTTTTACTAAGAGAAGAGTGTCAAGAGAATTGGATAAAAATGAGGGTAAGTTTAACGATGAGAAGGAAAAAAAAAAGCGAACACATTTTACCCTCATTTCTAGGGGCTTTTCTTAGGTTTTTTCAATTCAGTTTTGCACTGGGATATGATGGCAATGCTGTGTCCAGGCTGGCCAGGTGCCGTGGCTCAAGCCTGTAATCCCAGCACTTTGGGAGAATGAAGTGGGTGGATCACCTGAGGTCGGAGTTTGAGACCAGCCTGGCCAACATAGTGAAACCCTCTCTCCTAAAAACAGAAAAAATTGGCAGGTTGTGGTAGCAGGTGCCTGTAATCCCTGCTACTTGGGAGGCTGAGGCTGGAGAATCACTTGAACCCGGGAGGCGGAGGTTGCAGTGAGCCAAGATGGTGCCACTGCATTTCAGCCTGAGCAAGAAGAGAGAAACTGTGTCAAATAAATAAATAAATAAATAAAAGAACAAAAACAAAACAACAAAATAGGTTTGCATTGTTTTGCTCAAAGGGAATGCATTTTTTCTATTGTGTTTCTGTCATTTGCCAACATGTTATGGATTTATGGAGCTTTCAGCTGAAGTGCCCCACTTGGCAGAATTTCTCAGAAAATAGTCTGCATGACTTGAAGTTTTGTTCTTTCTTCCTACATTGTACACAGAGCTTTGACTCTTCCCTGCCCTAAGGATAGTTTGGTTTCTTTCCAATAGTTCTATTATGTAAAGTAGACTAATTGTATATATTTAATGATTATTCTCCTTATTCTTCCCATTTTCTTATTCATCTTGCTGCTGATGTGAAAGAACGGAATGAAAAGGGAAAACTGTTGGCACTTTCAACAATATGAGTTGTATCCATCTGGTGTTGGCTCATGTTATTGTGGGTTACGGTATGTGATGTGTGACTGAAAAATTCTTAGATGTCATTCACCACAAACCATCTGCAATGGCATTTAAAAAAGTCTGAACATGTTAGTGGGAATTATAACATAGTCCCTTTTTTTCCACTCCCCACATTGGCTCATAACCTGAAACATAACTCTACCAAGCTCTACTTGCACAATTGGTGATATAGAGGATATGCGTTTTTCCCTATGTGTCCCGCAAATCAAACCCTGGGCTCCATGTAATAAACAATTGGAGGGCGTGACCCTCGATAGTTTCATCTTTTGCCCTCTGTTTCTTGGGTGTGAGAAGACTTGAGATAAGATCATGAAGGCTTTCAGATAGATTTTCTATTTTAAGGTTTCTAGAACCAACAGAATACTATAAGGGCTAATGTCAGAGGCTGGGATACTTTATTCCAAACCAGTGGAGGAAAGTTTTATGTGCATTGATGATAGCAAGTTCTATATTTGGGGGCTGGAAAAAGTCTTTGTGTGAGACTATCTCAGAATCTACTTTAAGGGAAAGTGTAAGCTATCGGTGGTAAAACCATGTAAAAAAATCTTGTTTAATACAAACAGGTCATTTCGATTGCCTAGTTCAGTGCTTTCAATGTTGTCTGTGCATTAAAATAGTATAAAAGCTTGTTAAAAATATCATATCAATTAGATGCAGCAAACCACCATGGCGCATGTTTATCTATATAACAAACCTGCACATTCTGCACATATATCCCGGAACTTAAAATAATATTTCGTGTGTGTGTGTGTGTCTGTGTGTTTGCGTGTGTCTGTGTGTGTGCGTGTGTCTGTGTGTGTGCGTGTGTCTGTGTGTGTGTGTGTCTGTGTGTGTGCGTGTGTCTGTGTGTGTGCGTGTGTCTGTGTGTGTGTGTGTGTGTGTGCGTGTGTGTGCACGTGCGCGCGCCCCACCTGGGTTGGCTTAGAACCTAGGTATCAGTGTTTTTAAAAACTCCAACTTGATTCTCATGTGAAACCAGGGCTGCTAACCACTGAACTCAATGTTAGATTTGTGAATATGTGATGTATAAATAAAGAAATATACTTTTTCTTTAAAAGGTGTAAATATTCTGTATCCTCTCATCCTTGCAATATTTTCTATCATAATTAAAGACATTTTTGCAGCCCTGACTCAACTCCCACCTAATTTCCAACAGTGCAAACTGAAAGTTTTAACTTAATATGCTAAATTTTAGCTCAGGCACCATTATCACTAGCTTTGTTACTAAAACCAACCCCTAATGATCTCTCTACCTCTAATTGTACTCCCTTCCATACATTCTTCACATGGTAGCTGGAATTTTTTGTAGTAACTTGGTCTCTACTGATAACATCTAAAAGGTAAGAGATCTGCACACCATGAAATGTCAGCTGATGTGAGTTGGCAAAGTGACCTCATTAATTCATCCACCAATGGTTACTGTGTATCTATTATGATTCAGGCATTTGTCCAGGTTCTGAGGATATGGCAGAAATGATGTTCCTGTCCTCATGTAGTCAACATTTTGGAGGAAACAGAGAATGCACATTTAAGTAAACAATTTCAGAAGTGATAATTAATATGAGGAAAAATAAATCATGATTCATGATTAAAAAGGTGTTTGGAATACAATGAAGTGATGAGGTGAATCACTCAAAATCTGGGAAGGAATATTCTAGGCAGAGGGAGCTGAAGTGGGTATGTGCTCAGCATGATCAAGGAACAGCTAGAAAGGTCAAGGTAGCAGGAGAAGAAGGGCTGAAGGGAAAGTGAAAAGAGAAGAATTTGGAGACACAGTGGGAAGACATCACACAGGTCCTGGTGTGTCCTGGTGAGAGGTTTAGATTTTAGCTCATGTGTGATGGAAAATCTTGGACCGTTTTACCAAGTTAGTAAAAGGCTGTGATTTATGTCTATAAAGTACAATAGTCTGGTGTTGGAGAACAAATAATTTCAAGAATGGAAGAAAGAAATGTTGTTGTAACTTAACCAAGAGATAATTTTATCTAAGACTGACTGTTAGCAGAGGAAATCCTGAAAAGTGGTTTTAAAATTTATTATGTAATATTTGAAAGGTAGACCCAAGAAGACTTCCTGATGGGTCAGATATAAGATGGTAAGTCAATGGTGTAGGACAAGTTGAAATATAAATATAAACTAAATTGGGATACTACAAGATAAAATGTGATTTATGAAATGAAAATGGATATTATGTGGAGAAACAATCCAAAGTATCTATTAGTTGTTGCTTTGAACAAAAAAGTTAGGATGGACAGAACACCAAGGGACCAGGAGATGCCTATTGTTAATGGAGAGTGAGAAATGAGGAAGAAACTGAACCTGAATGTATATACAATAGGGTCAGGAAATATGTGATCCTCTAATGTACAGAAGACAGAAGATTGACTCCTGCTGGCAATGATGGAGTCAGTCTACAGGGAGTTACTCATTAGCCATGTTCCCAGATCAAGCCTTTGTATCATTATCAGAATGTGGTGGTTGCCTTTTTGAAGATAAAGGGTTCCAATTCCACCATCTATTTAGGGGCACCAGTGAGCGACGTCAAATCCCATATGTGTTAGCAGAGTTGAGGTGGAAGAAGCCACCTCAACTGGCCAGCACAATATGGTGCATGGACCTCAAAATCTTCTGTACTGTCTGCTTTAACCAGAGCCATAAACTACCTTAAAGCATCTATCGAGACATTTCCATCTCCAAGGGAAATACTCTTGTAATTCTCTTTGTAACACTAGTTTGTTTTAGTGCTCATTGAATTTTGCCTGTTCTTAGTTTGTATATAATTTATTTCTCTTTTTGTATCTGGCACATTCTTCTTTTCTTATTGGAGACTATGAAGATGAAGATAGATCCCAAACGCAATGACACAGAGGCAACTGAGTTTATTCTGCTGGGACTGACTAGTTGGCCAGAGCTATAGCCTATGCTTTTTGTGGTATTTCTCCTGATTTACCTCATCACCCTGACCGGGAACTTTGGGATGATTTTCCTAATCCAATTCACTCCTCAGCTGCAAACCCCCATGTATTTTTTTCTTACTCATTTAGCATGTGTGGATATTTTTTATTCCACTAATGTCTCTCTGCAGATGCTTGTTAATTTCTTATCTGAGAAGACCATTTCCTATGCTGGGTGCCTGGCCCAATGTTTTGTCTTTGTGACTCTGTTCCTTACTGAATATTACATGCTTGGTGCCATGGCCTATGACCGCTACATGGCAATCTGCAATCCCCTACATTACAGCAGCAAAATGACCAGGCCCGTTTGCATCTGCCTGGTGACCTTCCCCTACTTTTGGGGTTCTATGGTGGGCACGATGCAAGTAATACTGACCTCTCGCTTGTCCTTTTGTGGACCCAACACCATCAACCATTTCTACTGTGCTGACCCACCCCTCTTAATGTTGACATGTTCTGACACTTACATAAAACAAACTGCCTTGTTTGTGTCAGCAGGAATTAACCTCACAGTTTCCCTGCTCATCATTCTCATTTCCTACATTTTAATCTTCATCACCATTATGAGGATCCATTGCAGCGAAGGGCAGCGCAAAGCCTTCTCCACCTGTGGCTCCCACCTGACAGCTGTCGCTATGTTCTATGGGTCCCTATTCTGCATGTACCTGAGACCAGCAAATGAAGGGTCTGTTGAGCAAGGGAAACTTGTGGCAGTGTTTTGTATTTTTGTGAGTCCCATGCTGAACCCATTTATCTACAGCCTGAGAAACAAGGATGTGAAACAGGCCTTGAAAAGAATGTTTATGAGAAACTTTGGTAAGACAAAGAAAAATTCAGCAACTACAGTATCCCAATAAAAGAAAAATGAGATGAGTCTTAAAAAAAAAAAAAGTGATCTTCATTGGTTCTGCCTAAATGCAATTCTCTGGAATAACAATAATATATTTTTGGATATGCATAGCTTAGGATTAAGTGTAAGTCCAATGGAAATAATGAATGTGACGTTGTTTGGAAGTGATGATTGATAAGAATCACCACAGCGGAAGTCAGCTCTTTATGATTAAGCAGGGTCGTATGTTTAGTCCTTTCTCAGGAACTTATTTCTACTTAATTAGTTAGCAGAGACATTTTTTCTTTCACTCCCTCAGTCACCAATATTGAGCATCTCCAAGCCACTCTTAGCGGCAAACTAAAATGACTTACAATATATTTTCTAAATAAGAAAATGATTTACATTCATGTTATATATTAGTTTCCTTCGGCGAAAACTGATTATCTTCAAAAAAAAAAAAAAAAAAAAAAAAAGAAAAAAGAAAAAAAACCTTGTAATTTCAGATGCTTTTTCTTACTATAGCTTTGGTCTATGCCTACTTAATTTGAAACAATTTGAGACAGAAAGAAGAAAACACACGAAGCTTACAAATCTAGACTATATCGAAAAACCAAAGAAGCAAGAGCTGCATTTTCAAGGTTTTAGCCTAAAACTCATATCTTCTGTCATACCTTATGGGCTTTTTCCTGATTCTTTATTATATAAGAGGGACCTGGCTGCCAGTTTAATCCCAATATTTACAGTAACTGTCAAATACCTATTAAGAAGATCCTGACTTCTATATTTTGTTTTTAAAAATGTTAGAGTAAGTCAGTAATAGATGTATTTAGTAAAATAAAATGTAGTGACCCATAATGCTAGTTGGGGCAAGGCTGACCATTATGTCAAAAGCAAATGTGAAATACACAGGCCATACTTATCTTTTTTGTTTTTACCTTTATTTTAGGTTCGGGGTACAGGTGAAGGTTTGTTAGATAGGTGAACTACTGTCATGGGGGTTTGTTGTTTGCATTATTTTATCACCCAGGTATAGAGCCCAGTACTTACCTTTTCTATTAGAAGAACTGCAGTGTGACACACGGTGTTGTAAACATGTTTTGTAAGAAGAAACCTACAAATCATATGGGAACACATCTAGTCCATCAACTAATCAAGTGAGTTACTTTAACCTTCTTCTTGAGGTGTCAATAGCATAAAGCATCATTGCCTACACTAAGAGTTTTTTAATGGAAAGAGTAGTAGGAAGGCAAGGAATATAATTTTACTGAATAAACGTATTGTGGACTCTAGTCACTATTGTAGAGCAAGATTTCTCCTTGTAAAGCATGACTCCACCTCCATCACCAACATACATATTCATACACAAATACACACATACCACACAGACACATACAGCTAATGGACACATGAGCCATCTCAGGCAAGAACAGTTCTTTCTAAAAACAGACACATTGCCTGTAATGCAATAATTCTGAAAATGTGTCAAGATGAGTACATTGTGTAAAAAGCCCGTGAACAAAATAAAATTAATACATAATATGAGAAAATAAATGAAAGACTTGGCATCACAGAGACTGTTAAAATTCCAAGCCTATGTCACTTTGAATAACTTTTTGTGCCTTCATGGAAAAACTATGAATATTTTATTACTATATGGTGAAATCACATATGTTTTGTGTAAAATGAAAGATATAAAATACTAACGTTTTTTGTTTATTAAAGTTTTTAGTTTCCAAGAACTCAGAACAACTTGATTTAAAAGGAATAAACATTATCTGACAGATGACCCACCAGATATAATAGAATTTTCAATTCCAACATTGATTTTTTAAATTGAGGTTATTGAAAATGATGCCAGAGCAACATTTTGTCTTCCATAATGCTGCGCCTTTTATTGTAATTACCTTCTCAATTAAAAAACTCATATTGATGGGCTACTATGAAGGCATGGAGAGGGTTATAAGTAGGTTTCATTTCTTACGGAGCTCTCATACTGTTTAGGAAATGTTACATTGTATTATTATTATTTGTTTCTGAGACTAAGACATGATTAGAGCTGTAATATCTATAGAATCACCAGAATAAACATGCATAGTTGTCTACTTTGGGAAGGACAATGAAAATAATATTTGTGTGTGTCTTGAAATATGAAGGTCTTTCAGGAAGAAGAATGGTGAGACGGGCAAAAACGTTGATTGAGCAATACATTGTGTATTTTTAATATTCAACATCTGAAAGGCAGAATAAAGGAGGATAAAATTATAATATTGAGGTTCAATTTCTCATCAAAAATAATAATTGTAAGCAAAATTATTTCTTAGGTACTTTTAAGTGGCCACTTTCTCATTTAGATGACAATTAGTCTTTGAATGAAATCATCTACTATGATCATACAAACTGTGTTTTATCCAGTACCCACTATTTGAAAGCATTTATTGTTCACATGTCCATAATCACAATCTGCAAAGAAAACGTAGTCCTACTTAGGAGATATTTTAGTTAAAACTGCTAGTCAAATCAGCTGAAAACGTTGAACTTACCAAAATAAAATTGCACCTAGCAGCAAAATAGACATGCATGGTTATTTGCCAAAGCATTAGAGAAAGAATGTGCATCTTGCCCTACTTTTTGAAGGTTAAACCACTTCCATATGTAAAGATCAAACAACCTGACACTTGACACACAAGAATTGTGCAGGATACCTCTTTCCTAATCCCAGAAATTTACACTCTATAATATACTTTGGCATCTTCTCTGGGGTTTTGTCCTTACTCTCATCCTCGAGTTTATGCTCATTATTGTTGCTACATATCCTTTCTCTATGTTAAGAACACTGTGCTCAGCCTCTCTCTCATGATTTAGTTCTGATAGCTCTCTCTGGTTCACTAGGGGCATGGCATACTTTCTAAGTCTTGTTTTGCTGGGTGGACATTTTCCGGCTCAGCTTATTCCTCATTAAGCAGTTCAACCATCATCCAAAGAGCCATCACACGTAGAGAAAGGTAGAATTACAGCTTTTGCAGCTCAGTCTTTCTCTGTCTCAGCAATCATTATACTGAGTTTTGTATCTATGAACATGGTGCTGCACTGTGCTAGTCAGTTAATTTTGAGATTTAAGTTATGTGGAATGAGTGGGATTTATATAGAGTGGCCATATTCTCCAGGCTGCTTGAAACAGTACAACTCTACTATCAGAAAGAAGTCTCATGGCAGAATGAATTGGAATCAGGGTGAATGGAAGTGGATTTGGTCATTTGTAAGATTCCTTGCAGTCCTGACATCCCATGATTTCGATGATTCTAAGTAGAGACATAAGAGACTGTTTTAAAAATTTTACTTAAAGAAGCTTTGACTTCCTTGTTTCTCAAACTATAGATGAGAGGATTCAACATGGGGATGACCACTGTGTAAAATACAGACACCACTTTGTCTTGATCCATTGAGTAGCTGGAGCTGGGACGCAGATACATAAACAGGACTGTCCCAAAGAAGATGGGGACCACCGTCAAGTGGGAAGCACAGGTGGAGAAGGCCTTGTGCTTCCCTCCTGCAGAGTGAATCCTCAAGATGGCAGCAAGGATGTAGAGATAGGAAACAAGAATAAGTAAGAGACAGCGCAATTCATTAAAACTGGCAAAGGCAAAAATGACAACCTCATTGATGTGTGTATCAGAACAAGAGAGTTTCAGGAGAGGCGGAGTATCACAGAAAAAATGGTTAATGACATTGGAGTGGCAGAAAGACAGCTGGAAGGTGAAGCCAGTGTGAATGGCAGCATTTACAAAGCCTGCAAGATATGTGGCCGTCACTAGGAGGGCACTGAGGTGGGGGGACATCAGGACTGTATAAAGCAGAGGCTTGCAGATGGCCACATAACAGTCATACGCCATGACTGCCAACAGAAAACCCTCAATGCCAGCAAAGGAGCCAAACAAGAAGAATTGAGTGGCACATTCATTAAATGAAATGACTGGGTTCTCCACCCAGAAATTTATCAGCATATTAGGGACAATGACAGAAGAATAACAGAAGTCAACCAGGGACAAGTTACAGAGAAAGAAGTACATCGGAGTATGGAGACGTGAGTCAATCTTGATTAACAGAGTCATGCCAAGATTTCCAACAACGGTGATCATGTAGATGAGTAGAAACAACACAAAAAGAAGGCACTGTAGTTCTGGGTGATCTTTGAATCCCAAGAGAATAAATTCAGATACAGTTGTAAAGTTTCTCATATCTTAGTCTTAGAATAGAAGACTCACGTGCTGGGATGAGAAAGAAACCATGATAGATATGTTAATCTGCCTCACAAGAGTAATGACTATATTAGCTGTATGCATCTATATGTAAGTATACATGTATAGGAACCCCGTAGCATAATGTGTTGAACCTCAAGTATACACAATAAAATTTATTTAAGAAAAAAATGAAATATTGTACCCACAAAACCCACGATACTAAATAGTTCATTCTTCACTATAAGTAAGAGTACTTCTAAGATGTTCTGAAAATGTGTGCATAGCTACTCTTTATTTTATGTGGAGGTAAAAAAGAAAAGATCCCTTAAGTAAACTTAATTACCAATTTTATTTAAAATAATATGTGTGTATGTGTGTGTGTTTGTGAGAGAGAGAGAGACCGTTTTCGGTGATATCCTATTCTCTCCAACTTTTCTCTCTTCCTCTTCTGATCCTACTGCTTTCGTCACCTGTCATCCCATTTCTCCACCATCTCCCTGGCAGATAAACATATGGACACTTACATATCTTTTCTGTACTGAATTCTGCATTTCCTGTTTCCTGTTAGCCCATTCTAACCAGGCTTTTCCCTCCATCACTCCTTGGGAATTGCTTTTATTGAAGACATCACTGGTCTTGGTTGCTAAATCCAATGGTGAATTCTCAGGCCTCATTTTTCTTGATCTATCAGTAACATTAGACATAATCAATTACTTACCACTCTTTAAAAGGCTCTTCTCTACTCTTCCAGAACATCAAACTCTCTGGTTTTACTTTCTGCTACAGG